GCTGCCGCTTGCCAGGAGACCTGAGGGGGGAAGAGAGCCGCCCCTGGCCCGGGGCTCCCCAGAGCTGGCAGGGGCACATCCCCTCACTCTCAGCTCACCTCTGCTTCCAGAAACAAGTGTGCAATGACATCGGGCGGCGGCTGACAGTGCTGGAGGACGCGTGGGCTCAGGGGAAGCTGTCGGCACCAGTGAGGAAGAGGATGAACCTCCTGGTGCAAGGTATGGGGTGAAGGGGGCCGCGGCCGCATCAGCAGCAGGCCCTGGGGCAGAGGCACCCACGGTACGGCGGATCCTGCACCCCTGACGGGGCTGTCCCCCTGTCCTGGCAGAGCTTCAGCAGCAGCACTGGGACGCAGCTGATGAGATCCACCGCTCGCTTATGGTGGACCACGTGAACGAGGTGAGCCAGTGGATGGTGGGCGTCAAGCGCCTCATCGCTGAGACGCGGGACCTGCCCAGCGGACAGACGGACGGCAGCGCTGACACCGAGCCCGCAGCTGAGCCTGTGACTGAGCCCCCGACCGAGCCGGAGCAGGAGGAGCCCTGACGGCAGGGACAGGGCTGTGGACTGTGAGCGGGGCAGCCCCTACCCAGGGCCACCGGCAGGAACAGGCCCCTGCTGCTGGAGGGAGTCTGGGCACCCCCTCTGCCTCCCAATCCTCATCCAGGAAAAGGGGATTTTAATCATTGCGACATTTTAGTGGCGATTCATTATGTTTAATAAACAGCACCAACCTGCCCCCTCCCACAGTCTCCCTGAGGGTTCTGGCACTGACAGGTCCTGGGGCTCCCAGGGTCAGCAGGAGATGGGAGTGCTGGGTGAGGCCATGGCTGCTTCATCAGGCTTGGCCATGTCAGGGGAAGAATTCAGCATCCGGCTGGATGCAGTGCTGTGTGTTCCTGCTGCACTGGCTGGCAAAGCCTGCCCCTTATGTGGCCCAGTCCTGCTGCAGGAGGGGTCTGGGCTGGCTGCAGAGGCCGATGTGCCAACAGCTCCTGGCATGAGCAGGGTTTGTGCTGCAGCCACAGCCCTGGCTCCCATCTTGGCACAGCTCAGAGTCTGCAACCCAAGAGACCTGGGTGACCTCAGGGAGGTCCAGGGACAGACACATGCCTGGTCAGGTGTTAATTGGGCTGTTCTCCCCATGTTCATGGGATGGCCCGACCACCTGCCTCCACCACAGCTGAGAACAGAGCCCCAGCTGCAGGGTCACCCTCTGCACCCTCCTGGTGCTGCTCACCTCCCCTCCCTGGGGGCGAGGGCCCCGCTGAGCCCTGACAAAGACACACACCATGTTAGCACAGGGGTTTCACGGTGTTTATTGATCAAGCATGAGCTCCTAGGCAATTGCACCAGCCACTTGTGCTAGAGCCTGAGGTGTCACACGTCCATCCCCAGCATCAGAGAGGGCTGCAGCCAGCTGGTCACGGTGCCAGCACCTCCACGAGGCCCAGGAACAGGCCCAGCCATGGCCTGGAGACGAGGAGATGGAAACTCAGATGTCCATCTCAAACTGGTCTTGATCTGCAAGGGCACGGATGGATACAGGAGCAGGGTTAGGATGGGGCTGGCTCAGCAGACAAGGGCAGACAAAGGGAGCAGGAGCTGGAACTGGGCCAGGTTGGGATCTTGCCCCATGCCCCAGGCAGGCGNCCGGCGCTCTGCTGTCCCCCGGGAACATCGAGGCGGTTCCCCTGCACTGGGGTCTGTCTCTGCTGCAGCCTCGCTGGCATCGTGCCGTGTTCCCTTGCCAGCCTCCTCTTCTGGCCCATGCACCCAGAGGCCACTGCAGGACCCTTCTGCTGCTGGGCAAAGCTCTTGGCTCCTCAAGGCAACTGCGGGATCTTTCTCCCTACCCTATATCTCACACTCACTCTCTGCACAGACAACCTCTGGAGCGACCAGAGCCTGGAGACAGACCCTGACCTCCCCCCGGGCTGGAGGAAAATCTGTGACTCTCTGGGTACCTATTACTGGCATGTGCCAACAGGCACGACACAGTGGCAGCACCCTGCACGCAGCACCGGCCCAGGAGGGCACATGGAGGCTGATGGAGATGACACTCTCCATGGAAGGGTAGGGAATGTGGGCAGGGGTGTGAGGGCTGGTGTTGGATTCCACCCCTGGCAGAATCCTGCTGAAGGGCCCTCTGGGCACGACTGGTCCAGCCTCCCCTTGGAGCTCCCTGTCTGTGTGACCCTGAAGTCCTGCTCAGCCCATCTGGGGTTGAGCCCTTTGAAAGGCTTCAGCAGGTCCCATCCTGGAGCTCATTCTAGCTGGACTCAAATACTTAGGATACTCACAAGCTTGTTGCAGTCCCGGGAGGGAGGACTCCTACCTGGTGCCTCCTGATGCCTCTCTTGCAGCTCTCACCCCTTTCCTCTTCTCTCCAGGAATGCCAGGGCCCTGCAGCGAAGCACTCGGGGAAGGACCGGCCCATTCCCAGCCCCATGGCTTCACTGTCCCGGAGGTAGGGCTGTCCTTGTGCTCTGCTGCCTTGTTTGCGGGCTGCCACTGATCCCTGAGCAGTGCTGGGTGCTGGGCCCTGGTGCTCCCCCCTTGCTGAAACAGCAGGACCACACTGGGCACCCCCATAGGATGCTTCCCAGCTGGTGGCACGGGGGTCTGCTGGTTCCAGGGCATCCTGATGCTTCCCTGGGTGCCCCAGGAGCACGCAGAGGGAGCTTCCCCTCACTGCCCTGTCCCTCTGCAGGCACTCCCTGTCCTGGCATGGAGATGACTTCCAGCACAGCGCAGAGCCCGGCTCCAAGGTACTGCACCCGCCAGCTTCCCTGCCGCATCGTGGGCTGTGCTGGCAGAGGAGGAGGAGGGTGGCAGCTGGCAGGGACGTGGATGGGAGCCAGAGCAGGGTGACCACTGTGGCACAGTGAGGTGTGCAGGACAGAGGTGGCCGTGCCAGGAGCACTGAAGCCCCTCGTGTCCCTGCTCAGTGCTTTGCTGTGCGCTCTCTGGGCTGGGTGGAGATCCCCGAGGAGGACCTGGCACCTGGCAAGAGCAGCATCGCCGTCAACAACTGCATCCAGCAGCTCTCCAACAGCAAGGGCCAGGGCTCTGCAGACAACCAGGGCGAGGTAAGAGCCTGGGGTGGTGCTGCCAGGCAGGGTCCCACCACAAGGGCGCTGCTGCTGAGGCTGGACTGTGCTGAAAAGGGGAGCAGGTGGTAGAGTGAACTCTACACAGGGCACCCATCCGATGGTCCCAGGTGTAGAGCAGGTGGGTGTGACAGGGCTGTTCCTTGGGAACACTGCCAGGGTGCCTGGGTGGGTCCCCACACAAGGGAACGGTAACTGGGAAGGGCAGGGCTGACCCCACAGCTGGGGCAGAGCAGGCTGCTGGGGAAGGGGTTTGCCCACACAGGGGCTGGGTGCTGGGGATGCCCAGGCTGTCTGCCAGGCTGAGGGAACCACTGCCCCTCTGCAGGGCCAGGACCTAGTGATGATTCTGAAGAAGGACACCATGAGCCTGGTGGACCCCCTGGACCGCAGCCTCATCCACCGCCAGCCCATCCTCAACATCCGCGTCTGGGGCGTTGGCTGCGACAACGGCAGGTGCCAGGGGCCAGGGCACAGCTAGGGCCAGGGGGTGGCTCTGCCCACCTGGGGGAGGCACCCCAGCAGTGACCTGTCCCCTCTCCTCCCTCCCACTGCCACCACGGCTGCAGGGACAGGTAAGGGGGCACAGGGCTGGGGGGTGGTACAGGCAGGGGGCTGCCTCTGTCAGGGTCTCACTGCCTTGCTCGTGGCCTTGCAGAGACTTCGCCTTCGTGGCCAGTGACAAGGACACCTGCGTCCTCAAGTGTCACGTCTTCCACTGCAATGTGCCTGCCAAGGGCATCGCCAAGGCTCTGCATGAGATGTGCTCCAAGGTGGGACGCAGGAACCCCGGAGGGTGTGAGCATGGCCGGGGACCTCGGGGGTGAGGGGAGGCTCCGGGATCCCCATCTCTTGCAGATCG